AGCGTCCTTCAGGTGGGAGGGGCCGTCGCGCAGCGCCACGGCGCCGAGCCTGCCCTCTGCACACCTGGATCTGGCGCCAGAGAGCGTCCGTGAGCTCAGCGCGGGCGGGGGGGTGGGGAGGGCGAGGAGGAGGTGGGAAACCCAAGGGTCCCTGGCAGCCTCGCGAGCCCTCAATATGCCCTCCTCAGCCCACGAGTACTCCTCCTCAAGCCAGGGGTCGGGTTCCTCGGGCCACGGATCCAGAACAGCCGACGGGAACTCCACAGGACCCGCGGGAAGGGCAATGGAAGGGACTCGAGGGCAATCAAAACGGGCATCCCTGGGTCCCTTCATCCTGAATCCCACAAAATCCAAGGCTATATCAGCCTTCTCCTCCACAGCGCTGTCAGTATACTGTAGGGGTCAAGAGCCTGAACAACAAAACAAGTTCAATTTTTCAGGACGACCACTGGAATCTAGATCATCATTGTCACATCGCCGGTACGCTGCACGAGCCATGGCAACATAAAGTTCCTGAGGGCAGCTTCACTTGGGAGCCGTTCTCCATTTTCCTGTCGAGGTGTCAATGCCGAGGCGGGTCGCGTGGGTGTTGTAAGGTTGGGGACAACGTCCTTGCTTTCCTTCCTGGGCTCTGGATTACCTCGACGAGGGAGTCCAACCTCATGCGCGACAATGTGGCCGGAGCCTTGAGTATCTGCTCAAACATACACACACATTGGTCAAACGAAACAGCCCTGGAAGGAGCGGCCGCACTCAGAGCACATGACGTGGCAGTCTGCCACGAGCTTGGTGCTCTCTTCTCCCAGTGGGCAACTTCTGGATGTTCCTTCAGAGCTCGCGCTCAGAGCTCGAGGCAAGTCAGCATCCACTGGTGCTGGCTGAGCAGGAGCTGAGGGCCAATGGAGAGCTGCTGACGTTGGCGTGCGCTCACATCTGGACGACCCCACCTGTTTGAATATGTTTGACAATCCGAAGACAAGCAGGTCAACGGCACCGATCAGCAACTCTCAGCTCCTTCCACCTCGCGGCAGAACACGTCTCACATCGAGGGCCTCCAATGAGGCCGATCGTACGACCTGTTCTCAGGAGCAGGTCCCCCTTGTAAACGATGTCCGCGCGAGTCAAGTCGCCGTTCACAGGATTGCATGCCGCGGCACACGATGTAACAATCATGGTATCTGGCCCTGTCATCAGGACGTGTTCCAGCTCATCCTGCACATCGCATGATCGCCTTGCTTCTGAGAGCATCTGCAAGAACGCAAGCACTGCGTGCGTGCTGGAAAGGCCGCGGGCAACGGCCAGCTGCAGGACCATCATACTTAAGAAATTCAAAAAGATGCGCGTACTCAGGAGGGCCTAGTCGTTGGGTGCCTCTTGGACCTCAAAACTGAGCTTCGGAACATCCTCATATTGATAATGCATAGACCTGATGACCTGCCGGGCGCCCACGTGTGGCAGCTGAATTTGCTGGGGTGCACTCCGAGGACCAGGAACGCGATGGGTGGGGGGCCAGGCTCCCCTTCATGGCCCCTTTCCTACGGGCCTGCCGTTTCGCCACGGACACATAGGCCCTTGCTTCTTCCAGAACTTCAAGTGCCTCAGGGGCCAGGTGGGAGTGGGCCGAATTATAACAGTTCGGATTCCCATAGGCAAAGAGATCAATACTCAGTTAGTTCTACAGGGCTGAGCCGAACCAAACAGATAGGGCACGTAGTGCTAGTAGTATACCTCGCAACCGCCGCTCGTTGTTGGTGGCGCAGCCTGGCAATGCGCTGCTTCGCAGCTGCACGCTTGGGAGAGGCGAAATCGCAGAACGGGCAGCGATGCACGACAGGTACAGACGCCGGTTTCAGAAAGGTCTGGTGGCGCACCAATACTCGCAGCATGCTGGAAAAAGTCTGCGCCCGCCCCCCGGCGCCCTCCACGCGAGAAGCCCGGCGAATATGAGCATCGATCCCCGACTTGAATAGATTGGCCCAATGTTGTCCCCGTCCTAGTATCTCCTTTCCCCGCGGCCCGAACTCCTAGGAAGGGCTAGGATACTCACGTAGCTCAGATACCCGAGTACGAAGCCATTGATGATCATCTAGAACCGCGTTGAACCATGAGTGCTTGGGCTCCGATGCGGCCCTGATAAGCTCCAAGAGAGCCCCAGGAGCATGGCGGCACAATCGGCTGAGGTAGCGCAAACGGTGCCACCTTAGCATGATTTTCGCATCGCATGTCTGAGCCGCCGCCAAGACAGCCTGATCTGGGCCCGCTCCATCATCGTAGGCGGGCTTGCCCAAGGAAGAGCGGAACGTCCGAACAGTGCCAAACCTGTAGCGTCTATACAGGGTCGAGGAGAGCAGCGGCCGCGTGGCCGCGCTGCAAAGCCTGCCTGACATGATCAACGCACCCGCGAGTTGCAGCTTGTGCTGCAGGGCGAATTGGGAGTTGGGGAGTGCAACCTGTCGAAGAGCCTGCAGCGACGACGACGTCGACGAAGCCCGATATGCCAGCTCGGGCGTCGCATCTTGCTTGTCCGAAGCCACCCCTTCCCTCATGCTTATAAGCATGGATCGCCCAAACGCTTATGAGCATGGATAGGCTGAGGTATGCTGAGGTAGCGCAAATAGCGCAGGTTGATGGAATCATCCTTCCCCTCCTCCTCGATCCAGGACTTCTTGCGGGCCATGGCAGCCCCGGGCACCCTGAAGGTCACAAGCAGGGCAGTCTTGGCGGGGCCCGCGTTGATCTTGCGGCCCGCATGGGTGAAAATGTGGGCAGCGATCGCCATGAAGCACTGAGTCTTCTGAATGATGGAGCCTCCAGGGCCCCGCGCATTGAACAGGCTGCCGTCGCTAGTTGAGACCTGGGCGTCGCACTGAGCAAGAGGGCCCAGGGTCCTGGCCGAGGGGGCGTCCAGCTTCTGAAGTAGCCGAGCATCCTCGCGACGGCCCCAGGTCCGCCGAGTACACCTAGAAACACTAAGCAGGAACAGCTGGGCAGCAAGACCATTGCCTGGCCTAGTCCCCGTCGTCAAAATAGCAGCATGTCCTGACCCGATAGGCAGTGGCACGCGCCCGCAATCAGGTCTCAGCCAATACGCGCCGCAGATGCATAGGAACCTCCAGTTCCTCTCAGAGCGGAGGCCGAGCAAGCTCGGCAGCTAGTAGCTCCATGCAAGACGGTGGCAGGCCAGTGGCATGCAGCAGCTGAGCAATCTGTTCGTCGGTGATCACCTCCCCACCCTCGGATCGGATAAGTAACTCGCGAATCGCGTGGTGAAAGGCCGCTTCGAGATCCACGAATAAGGTCGACATCGATTCAGATCGCGTACGAGACCGCATCAAACGCACTGCGTGTACAGCAACATCTGCTCCGCGCCCGCGCATGCCTCCACGTTGAATCCGGCGCGCATCCATCGAGAAATGGTTGCAGCCTGCCGGCGCCGAGCGCATGAGCACGCATGTCGACTTTGGGCCCTATGGCCACATACCTGCTGCTGGAGCACTGGTTGGGCGCACCTCTTCCCTTGTGCAAATCGGCCAAACGCGAACTTTTCCATTGGAGTGGTTCATGAACACACATGATGTACTTCAACACCAGGGGGTCGCATAGCCGAGCTTCGGTCTGCGGGCGCATCTTCAGAAGGGCTCCCGGGGCACAACCAAGGCCGTTCGCGCGAGTGCTCGAGGTCTTCAGCATCTGCTGCTCGAACATGGCCAGAGTAAGTATATCCTTAGCAGCACTCATGTAAATCGAGTCCTGCTCGCAGCGGGACTCGCCGATAAATGGCGAAAGACTGGAAGCATATACTCGGAAGCCAATTCCTGATCAACGAAATGTTCCAAACGGCGTTCTCCGCTTGCAGTTGGCCTTGCAGCCGGCTGGCCACCCCTCAGCAGCACTTGAGCAGACTGGTTGGCGGGGCACTTCGTAGCCGACCCCACTCCCGGCGATCGAAGCTGGCCATCTGCCGGCCGAAACTCCTTCAAAAGAAATGAGCTGGCGATTGTCTCCGAAGTTAGGTCATATTGTCAGCCATATCCATCTCGCACGGCCGACGAATCAACCGAGAGGTCAAGAACGTCATGCTACTAGGTGGCCCCCGCGTGAGACCGTGCCATCGGTGACGTGCACCCAGGACTTCCGATGGTTTAGGCAAAGCAAAACCAGAATGAGGAGGGGCCCTAGCCAAGCCCGGGCACATAACCATGATATACCATCAGTCGGGCATCAGTCTGGGCAGCGGGAGAACGGCGACGCGTAATTCTCTGTAGGGCCTGAACATGAGAGTGAAACTCTCCGACCATCCCCACAACTGTTGACGCCGTTGAAAACCGCGGAGATGGTTGGGCCCACTGCGGATCTTGATGCCTCCCCAGACACCCTCATGCTCCTGGAGTCCCAACGTAGTCCAAGACTGAAGCACAAATTGAAGCAGGCCTCGATGGGGACTGCCGAGTCCCACGTGCGATGTATGACCCGCAGGTACCTCCGAAGCTCCAGCAGCTCAAGCGTTCTTTCACTCGCTCAGTCCTGGCGGCGAGGGTCGTCAGGGAGAAGATGCAGACGTGCGAAAACTGCGAGGTGGCCATCCACTCGCGCGCGATGTGCATCAGAAGCAGCGCGCACCTGAGGGCCTCGCAGCCATTCAGCTCGCGCGCGCAGCTGAGGCCAGCGATATTGCGAGACGTCGAGCGAATCCGAGGGAAACCCCACAATGACATACGTTGGACTGTGATCTTCTGCCGCATTAGCAAGATCAACATACCTATCTACCTGTGCGCACGTCACTTTGCCACGCCAATCATGTGGCACAAGCGCGTTGTCCAATCGCTCGCATGTCTTACCATTCGTATGCGCATGCGTGTGATGTGCACCCCCAGGAGGAGCAGGGAGGTCGACTTCGCCACGACCTGAAAGCGACGGCAAAACGCTCGCAATCACTTTCCAGAGAAATCCTCTTCAGCAGCCTCCACATCACCTATCTGAGCAGAGGACGTGGGCCCCACCTCCGCCCCCGCATCGAGCATGAATGCCGGGTGCACTTCCGGGGCCAAATACTCTCGCGCAATCTTCTGGGCATCGAGACGCCATCCTTCAGCGGGCGTAAGCTCCCTGTGTGCCGAGTGGGGGGCGTGGGCGGCTGCCAATAGCAAATGCAGGCCTGGCACGTAGAATCGCAGAATGAGCCTGCTCGGGTCGGCATAGGGCTGAGAGACATGCTGCTTGCCTGGTCGTGCGCCCTGGACAGGTGGCCCCGCGTCGGTCCGAATAGCCACGCCGCCAGCGCCCTTCTCAGCGCAATTGGAATAATACATGATGTCGCCCCCGGCGCGCCTGAGAAGGCCCGCCGGGGGCGTAATTTCAGGCGCCCCGAGGACGTGGCACCGAGCAGCAGAAAACTGCTCGGCCAGAAGCGCGATGCGCCCTGGGGAGTTCAGGCCTATGACCCGCGGGAACCTGGCGGACCCGCGGGTCCCGCGGGGCCCCTCCACGCACTAGCCGTTGCCTTGAAGGGTCAGGACATTGGCAACTCCAAACTTACAGCTGTTGAGGTCCTGGGAGGCAGCGTTTTCAGCGATGCGCTGGACCCCGATTACATCCTGCACCTGGAAACCCTCCGAGGGACCCCCCTTGACCCTTTAGACGTGAGAGCCCGCGATGCACGGCAGGCTGTCGGTGCTCTCCACATAGAGCCAAGCCCAAGCAAGAGCAGACGAGTCAAACAGCCGCTCGACAAACGGCCTGACATCCATGCCAGGCATCAATCCCATGCCAATGAGACGGGCGATGGTGTCGGCCAGCTCATTATAACCAACCCCTGGGGACTGCGAGCGAGCCCCCCCATCTATTGGGCGCGAAACTGACGGAGACTGCGCCATGGACCGGGGAAACAAGAAACCATAATTGGAAACTTCAAAATTCTGCGACCCCATCAATACCCCAGGGGTACGAGTAGAGTCTAACCGGAGGGTGACAAGTACATTGCTTAGATTGGCCTGATCAATCCATGCCGGCGCCCACGCTGCTGCCATGATCTCCGCCGCAGCAGAGTGGCATGGCGAAGGGGGGGGACCCGTCGGACCCTCCGGGCCCAGATCAGATATAATACCTCGCAACGCACTGGGACCATCGAAATGCTCGTGCACAGTCGCGACGGCGGAAACGGGAAATCATGGAATATCCGACCTCTCAGCGCAGCCAGTTCCAGCATCATAGACACGAACGAGCGGGGGAAGAGGAGAGGGGGGAGATGGGCATGTCGCTGCAGCACCGCGGAGGTTGCCGGATGAGAATACTCTGCGAGAGAACTCTCACAAAACGCGTGAACTTGGAAAGGCCGCTGCTGTCGCAACCGTGCAACGGCTTCTCGCGCAGGAAAGAAAAGAAAGTTGCGAAACTTGAGCGGCCGCTGCCCCGCAACAAAGCCGCATCGGCTTCCTTATCGGACCGATGAGGAGGCTCGTGACGCGCGAGAGGAGCGGCGGCCGCCGCGTCTTTCCCGACACCACCTCGCGAGCTGCGCTTCGAGAAGCAGACCGATGCGTCCTGCGACTGGACTCCCCGGGGACCTGCCGAGCCCGTCTGGGCTCTTGGCTGGGCGCTCTGCTCGGAGATCTTCTTGGGGGCCTGCTTAAGGCCCGAGGCTGTCGGGGGGTCGCGGCAGCGGGGTCTTCAATGGGGGCATCGGCCGCGGGCTTGCCTGTGCCTGACGCAACTGGCGCCGCGGGCGCCGCTGCTGCCGCCGCTGGAGCCGTCGCTGCCGCTGTCACCTGGGCCGCTGAGCCGTCTCCACCTGAAAGGGCCTCTGGGTTGACGAAGCCTGCCCAAGGTTGCGGGACTGGCACGTTGACGCCACCTCCTGCCTGGATCTGAAGCTGGTGGACGACGCCCGTCATGCTCTGGAACTGGGCCACCATCGCCGCGATCTGCGCTCGGTGCGCCGCCGAGGCCCCTCGGGCAGCCCCGGGCTCCCCGCCCGCAGGCACAGCAGCAATCAGCGCCGCCTCTGGTGGCTTCTTGGCCTCCGTCTCGGCGCCTGGATCAGGGCCTTCAGCTCCGTGGTGACCTGGTTCATGTGTTCGAGGTCGCGCTTCGCCACATCGACGTCCACGACCGCTTGCTTCACTTGGGTCTGCAGTTCGACCAGCGCATCTTCTGACTTCTGGAGGCGACGTCCTGCCAGCTCTCGAGTTTCTTCCTGCTTGCCCAGCTGCGACTTCAGGCCCCTGGCACTGAACAGCATGGTCAACTTCGTCGCGAACTCCAGCGCTGCATCTTCGTACTCCTCTCGAGCGTCGCACCTGCCGAGGATGATCGTATTCAAGGCCTCCAGCCGTGCATAAACCTGTTCCTTGTAAGACTCCGCCTCGCTGTCGGTCGCCTGGGTCTCAGGCGGAGCACGCCGCCGAGGACATTGTCGTGCCACTTGCGGTAAGGGCGTATGTGCAACAGCTCCTTGGCCGACCTCTCGTCGCCCCTGGCGCACATATCTTGCGTCTTCGGCTCGAGATTCTTGTCCTTGGCAGCCGCAGAGCCACCAGACGCATTCGACTCGGGATTATTGTCCTTGTTTTCCTTGTCCCTGATCATCAAAACACCCTTCTCCTTCAGCGCTGACTTGCCCTTGCCCTTGCCACCGGCACCCTCTGGCGGCGCGCTGCCTGATCGACGAAGAGTACGGCGCCAGGGAGGGGCTCCTGGCTGAGGCGAGCCGCGCTGACGACAGTCGACACGCTCGTGCCTGTTCTTGCTGGAACAGGTGCCACAGGACCAAGGCGGTCCCGATGGTGATCATGAGACGGCGGACTTCTTCATGATGTTGGTACTTCTCGCTGTCGGCTGCGCTGCCGTTGTAGCAGACGTCGCGCTGCCTCCACTCGGAGGAGGACTCGAGCACGAGATCGCTCCGCTCGGGCCCTCCTGTGCCACGCCGGCTCGAGAGTTCGGCCTGCGTGGCGGCGGGGGCTGTCACGGCCACGGCGCAACGCTATGGCGGGTTGCGCGCGGGCAGCGCGTATAGCAGCTGTCCGGGAGGTGAGCGTCCGCTACCTGGTAGCACCCAAGACCCTCGAACTGGGACGGCGGCCGGAGGAGGAGGAGGAGGAGGAGGAGGAGGAGGAGGAGGAGGAGGAGGAGGAGGAGGAGAAGGAGTGAGGAGTGAGGAGTGAGGAGTGAGGAGGGAGGAGGATGGAGAAGGAGGAGAGAGGAGGGAGGAGGGAGGAGTGGCAGCGGGTCCCCCCCACCCCCCTTTGCGCGTCTGCGCGTGACTGAGGCACCGCTCGAGGGCCTCTGCCGCCTCGGCCGCTGCGTCCGAGGCCCGCTTCGAGGCGGCGGCCGCGCCCGGCGACGGCGTCGGCGGCGGGCCATGTGGCAGGCTGGCGGCGGGGTGCTCCTTTTTTGGTTGTTGGGCAGCCACCTGGCATATCTTTCGTGGGGGAGGGAAGGGGAAGAAGGAGCGCGACCCCAAAACTTCGCCCGACTCGGCCTCGACCGCTGCGCGGGGCGGAGCTCCCGTGATAAAGGGGCCCAGAAGGGGGCGCGAATATAAATAGACACAGGCTCCAGGATTTCCAATATGTTTGCACAGCTGGTGGAATTTCGATGTTCCCCAAACAGGGCCTGCACTTAGGGGTCCTTACTTCTTTTCCAGGAAATGGGCTGGTGTGGTGGTCTGGCGGCTATGCTGTCGCAGTCGCTGCCCCGTCGCCGCCCGGGGGTGGGGGGAGGAGAGGAGGGAGAAGGAGCGCGACCCCAGAACTTCACCCGACTCGGCCTCGACCGCTGTGCGTTGGGGAGACCTTGTAGAGGGGCCCAGGGAGATACGAACAATAAGCAGACTCATATTCCAGGATTCCCCTGTTAAAAATTCCCCAGCGACGTGCCCAATCCATCGGCACCAAGGGATGATACAGCAACGCTGCAAGAGACGGTGCACGGCGGATGCCTACATCGTGCGAAATGTGCGTGGCCGACTCGAAAGTGGCGACAGTTTCACACCCTGGCCCCCCAAGCAGCCCTCAAAAATGGCGACACTGTTACACTTCGCAGCCCCACCCCCTATTGGATCTGCGTGGGACCCCACTATGCTGCCCCCCCCCCAGCAGCCCTCGAAAGTGGCGACATATTCACACTTCGCGGCCCCCCCCAGAGATGGCGAGGTCTTTTGGGGATCTGCGTAGGGCCCCACCGTGCTTGCCCCAAGCATCCCTCGAACGTGGCGACAGATTCACACTTCGCAGCCCCCAAGGGATGGCGAGGTCTTTCTGGGGTTCTGCGTAGGGCTCACCTGCTGCCGCCCCAGCAGCCTTCAAACGTGGCAACCTATTCACTCTTCACAGCTCCCCATAGCTCCCCAAGTCCCCAAGGATGACGAGGTGCCGTTTGGATCTGTGTGTGGCTCCACTGTGCCCGCTCCCCCAGCAGTCCTCGAAAGTGGAGCAATTTCACACTTCGCAGCTCCCCAAGGATGGCGAGGTCTTTCTGGGGTTCTGCGTGGGGCCCCACTGTGCGGGCTCCCCCAGCAGCCCTCAAAAGTAGCGACACGTTCACTCTTCATATATAGCCCCCCAGGGATGGCGAAGTACCATTTGGATCTGCGTGTGGCCCCACTGTACGGGCGTCCCCTATCAGCCCTCGAAAGTGGGGACAATTTCACACTTCGCAGCCCCCCAGGGATGGCGAGGTCTTTTTTGGGTCTGCGTGGGGCCCCACTGTGCGGGCTCCGCAGGCAGTCCTCGAAAGTGGGGACAATTTCACACTTTGCAGCCCCCCAGGGGTGGCGAGGTCTTTTTTGTGTCTGCGTGGGGCCGCTCTGTGCGGGCTCCGCAGGCAGTCCTCGAAAGTGGAGACAATTTCACACTTCGCAGCCCCCCAGGGGTGGCGAGGTCTTTTTGGGGTCTGCGTGGGGCCGCACTGTGCGGGCTCCCCCAGCAGCCATCGAAAGTGGCGACAGTTTCACGCTTCGCTGCCCCCAAGAGGGATGCGAGCGGAGAGAAGGAGACCCCACTGTGCGGTCCCTCACCCGGCAGGTGCAGGCAGGCGAAAGGGAGGCAGGGGGAGAGAAGGAGAAGAACCCCAAAGCTCTATTCAAAACGAGAACCCAACCAAGGGAGGGTTGGGAAAAATCGCATGAGTTTTATACTTGGCGCCGCGTGAAGGGGGGGATAAATAGGGGGCGATGGCTGCAGAAAAGAAGCCCTGTAGGGCCCCTAAAGGGGGCCTTCAGGGCCCGACGAAGTGCACCTTTCTTCCCACCATCATGTATCGCCCCCTCCTTACGCGACGCCCGATTCTATGTTTTCCCATTTTTCCTGGGAGATCTGCATGCATGTACGGCGAGTGTATTGGATAAGGAACCGTTGGATAAGGAATCCAGGGTCTGGAAGCCAATGGAATCACAATCGCTGATGGGTCACGGATATCACCGCCGCCCTCATCAGATCAGGAATCCTCCAGGGTCTCGAGCCTCGTGTGCACATTCCTTAACGAACGCCACCACCGCACTTGGGCCTGCGCCTGTGTCTTTCTCTCCTGCTCCTGGTTGCCCGAGCCGAGGGGCGGGGGGCAGCCGGGCGGATAGGGCTCCCCGTCGCTGAACCTCGGGGGTGCCCAAGGAGAGGGGGGGCGCCAGCCATGGCCCGAGGTACGTGCGCAGACGAGTGTCGGTCGGGGCACGCGCCGCGAAGAAGAAGAAGAAGAAGAAGAAGAAGAAGAAGAAGAAGAGCCCGGAGGCCCGACGCGCCAGAGAGAGTTGCAGCGGCTGGCTTTTGGCCGTCTGCAGCCTCTGGGGGTCCTCGCTGGGCCTCGGGACCGTCCGGAAATGACACAGGACGAAGAGCTGGCCCTGGGGAAGTGGTCCGGACCTCCAGGGCCCCACGCATCGAAAAAAATGGGAGCGGCCGGATGTCTGGGAGGGGGCCATGCAATCTGGGAGATATCATGGCCCAAGCCATGGTATCCCACCCCTAACCATCACCCCCCTTGGTCGCCCCTGGTGAACCAGCCGAAGAGTGTGTAGCGCAGCGGGGCGCCGGGGCGGACCTCGGTGACCCAGTGCTCGCGCGGCACCAGGAAGGCGACCAGGGAGTTGAATTTGGGCACCAGCAGCCTGGGGTTGTCCAGGACATTATCCACCAAGCAACCGCCGTACTCCTCTTTCCAATCCGTCGTCAAGTAGTAGATGACTGCGATCTTCCTGAACACGGCAGTGCCCGCAGGGTATGCCTCCTCGTTGACGACCTCCTCGGGAGGTACCACACGCCCTAGTGCGTCGTTGTGCAACGTGATCTTGCCGCCCGAGTCGTATCGAGCGGCGTGGAACAATGGCTGAAGCCTCGGTTCCAGGGCAAGGAGGAAGCTCTTGTCCGCGTCCGCCTTGTCGCCCTCGTACCTCCAAAAGCGGTGCTCCGCATCCGCTGCATTCGTCTGGGCCGATAGCGTCCACTCGTCCAGACGCAGCGACTCCAACGTTCGAAGCTTCTGCAGCGCCTCCTGGTGCGGAAGCACGTCGAGGACCTGCACAAGGCCGCCGCTGTTTGCCAGCATGGTCCCCAGGCCCTTCTCGCGCACGGCCGCGAAGAACTCCTCGCCCGCCATCGTCGTGGCGGCGCCGACGCGGGCGGGACGTACCTCCATGACCGCCCTGGCCACGGCTGTGACGCGCACCTGGTCCAACTCCCGCCAGAGCAGCTGCAGGTGCCGCAAGTGGTCCGCGCCGAGCGGAGACACGCACTCCCACACCGCCACGACTCGCCTGAGAACGTCGCACCGCAGCGCCATAGTTAGAGGAACCAAAAAACTGCAAGACATGATTTCTCGGAGGTCCGCGAAGACCTCCGAAAGTTTATGCTTATGCCGTTTTTTGTTCTTCGAATAGTGTCGAGCTTTGCCCCATCGACGCAGACCGCTGGCCCGCTCTTCAGCAGGCACCACAGCGCGGCGCCAGAGAGCGGCTGCACCAAGCACCAGCAGCAAGCGATCTGCCAGTCGGCGAGGCCTTCCGCGCTGGCCGCCTCGCCCACCGCCCTCAGCGCCGCCAGCAGCGGCAGCAGCAGCCCCTCCACGGCGGCGGCACCTGGCTGCGCCGAAGCGACGGATTGCATCTCCTGCTTGAGCGTGCTCTCCCAGGATGACCTCGCCGCGCCGATCGCCGCTGCCACTGGGGTCCCCGGCAAGAGCTCGCACTCGAAGCAGCACCGCCTGCAGCGGCAGCAGAAGCCCCAGCCGTCCTGCGACAGCGCCTGCCTGGTCGCTGCCGGGCTGGTGGTTGGGAAATACCGGAAACGCAGCTCCTCACCCTCCTCGACGTCGCGAGCCGCTATCAGCGCGGCAATGCCGCGGAGAGCTGCGGGCGCGTGCCTCAGCAGGTTGGCCTCGTGCTGGTCGCAACTGTGGTTGATCAAAGAAGGCAGGCCGTATACGGCCACGCCACCCTGAACGGGGAATGTGTTCGCCTCCGCCGCGGCCTGGAAGTCGAGGGCGGCAGGCTGGTCGCCTTCAGCGGCGTCCTCCCCCGAGGCATCGCACGCGAATGCCTCCACCGCGCGCTCTGGCGCCGCTGGAGGACTCCCTGGCCCCAGCGCGCCCAGCAGCAGCGAGGCCCGGCGGCGGGCGCGAGGGCTTGCCTCGCAGCTGGCCGCCAGCGCGCGCACCAGGGCCTCGCCTCCCGATGGCGCCCGCGCCAGCGGGGCCGCGAGGAGGACGATCTCGCCCCGCTGCAGCGCGCGCCGTGCAAATAGGCCCCTCTGCGCCACCCCTGCCTTGCCCGTCCACCGCGCCTCGACGGGCCGTGTGAATTCGGCAGCTGGTGGCATCGCAGCGACCCACGGGGCCCAGGCGGCAGGGATGGCTCCGTCCAGACCCCCTGCCCCCAACAGGGCCAGCTTCAGCTGCTCCTGGTCGCCCCGCTCCTGCGCCGCCAGCGCGTCGGCGTGCGCCCGCAGCGCGCACAGCGCCGCGGCTGCCTCCGCCGCAACCGGCAAGGCCTCCGCGGCACGAAGTCGTGCCGCCGCCTCGGCGCAGCGACCCGCGGCCGCGGCGGCCACGCTGAGCGCCGCGTGGGCCTCCGCCGCGAGCGGGCTGGAACCCACCGTGTCCAGGGCATGACGCAGGCGCTCTTCCTCTGCCACCGCGGCTGGCAGCGCGAAGCCAGCGGCCGACGCCGCGAGGCTGCGCTGCACCTCTCGCAGCGCACTGGCCAACGCGGGATCGTCCTCGGGCGCCGCGCCCCACAACAGCCGCCCCAGAGCGCGCACCGCCATGCCCGAGCAAGACACGGGCATGCAATGGGGGGCGGGTTCCCGTCCCACGCCGTCGCGTGTACGCGCGCGCGCGGGGGCAGCGCGCCTCCTTTCAGCCCGAATGAGCAAAGATCCCCTGGCTCGTAATCAGAAGCTCCAAACCCTCAGGTACGCTGGCGTTTCCGTCCTTCGGGGGTTTGGCCTTCGCCTCCGCCACCTTCCGCTGGCCTCCGCCGGCAAGCCCGTCCCCACTTCGCTGGTCAGCTCCTGGACGGATGCGCCGTTCTCCTGGGAGCGCCCCGCGTGCGCCTGAGAAGGGGCCTGCTCTGTTCTTCAGTTGGGCACCTCGAAGACCACGGGTGATCACGAGGGTCGGGGGGGGGGTATGGAGGAGGGTGCAACTTTCGCTTTGCTATTGGCGTCAGATCAGATCCGCGAATATATCGGCCAACGCAGATTCCAAACAGACCAGAAGACTGGAATGACATGAACTGGAGTGGACTGGAATAGCTGGGGTGGAGTAGACTGGACTAGACTGCGGTGGACTCTACCCGAACTCCACTCCATTTCACTATAGTCTAAGTACTCCATTATACCCGATTCTACTCTACCACCTAACCTACTCTACTTTACTCTGTTCTGCTCTGCTCTACTCTACCCTACTCTACCCTGCCTTATCCTAGCCTACACTTCTCTGCTTTACTCGGATGTACTCTACTCTACTCAGCCCCCCCCTGCAAGTCTACTCAAGTCTAACATGCTCTCCCCTTCCCTCTTCCCCTCTAACCTGCTCTACCAAACTCTAAAATGACAGACTCTATTAATTATACCATCTACCCTACTCTGTTTAGCTCTGCCCTGTTCTACGCTACCTATCGTATCCTACTTGCTCTGTTCTGCTCTGCTCTACTCTACTCTGCTCTGCTCTGCTCTTTTGTAATCTACCCGACTCTACTCTACCATCTGCCCTACTCTACCCGACCGTAGCCGACCCTACCAGACTCTCCTTTCTTTTGTTTGAAAGAATACACGGGGCGGACAGCACCGTGACAAAACACCTCCGTGAAACAATCTTGAATGCTCGGCCAGCGCCCAAAATCTGCGAAGCCCCCAACAAACGACTGCCCATGGCCGCGAGAAAGAAAGGACGAGGATGTTCAAGGGGAAGACCGCGACTAAAACAGCTCGACACACTCTGGCACAATACAACCGTGAGTGGCGGCATGCGGCATGTCAGGCGTTAGGCTACTGCACCTCAAAGTCATCCGACTCTGGCCCTCAAGTGGCCACCGCAAGCATAGGAGGAAAAGCAAGGGGAAAAGAAACGTACGCATAAGTCGTCCCGAATAATCGCCTCGACAGAATGGCGATGCGCGGCCCAAACTTGTAAGACATGGTAAGAACTCATAGTTTCCAGAGTTGACGTCCTGCGTTGGGTATATGCTTTGAACAGAGCACTGCAGTCGCACACCTCTCGCCTCCACGCCTCCTGTCTCCTCTCTCCTGCCTCTCAACTCGCTCCTTCCTGCGATCAGCGAGTCTGTCGCCACTTTCAAGGGCTGCTGGGGGGTCCACCGGAGTGACGTCCTACGCGGCCCACCAGGAGACGTCGCCATCCCTGGGGGGCTGCGATTTGCGAATGTGTCGCGACTTTGGAAGGCTGCTGGAGGGTGCAGCGGAGTGACGTCCTACGCGGCCCACCAGGAGACCTCGCCATCCATGGGTGGCTGCGATCTGCGAATCTGTCGCCACTTTCGAAGGCTGCTGGGGAGGGTGCAGCGGAGTGACGTCCTACGCGGATTACCAGGAGACCTCGCCATCCCGGGGGGGCTGCGATCTGCGAAACTGTCGCCACTTTCGAAGGCTGCTGGGGGTGCACAGCGGAATGACGTCCTACGCAAATCACCAGGAGACCTCACCATCCCTGGGGGGCTGCGATCAGCGAATATGTCGCCACTGTCGAGGGCTGCTTGGGGGTGCAGCGGAATGAATAGGGTTATAGGGCTATTAGGCTATACGGCTTTACGGCTATACGGCTCTGCGGCTACACCGCTATGCTGCTACAAGGCTATAGGGCTATAGGGCTATCGTGCTATATTGCTATAGGGCTATGGGGCTATAGGGCTACAAGCATATGTATATAAGGCTATTGGGCTATAGGGCTATAAGGTTATTAAGGCTACAAGGCTCTTGGGCTATAGGGCTACCGGACACCCGGGTACCCGGGCACCCGGCCCGGCCACCGCAAGCGGCGGCACAGCTCACCTAACCATATGAATCCGCTAGGACCCCTACAGAGGCAAGCTCTGATTGGAGAATATTTTCAACCTGTGACATACCCAGCCCATTTGCATCAAGTGACAAGAGGAGTTGGCCCAAACTTGCCAGGACGATGACCGTGCAGGCTCCGTTATTTGCTGCGCAAGCTACATGGGATGCGCATACGCGGCACGGTTCACATGACAACAACAGAAGGACGAGGAACGAGGACCCAGGCTTGTGGGCCGAATCGTCAGCGCGGCAGCAGCAGAGGGAAGGTGGCACCGGGCAGTGGACGATGACGAAAGTGACGGGAGGAGACCGAGGAGTATTGCTGTTGTTGGTCGTACACTAAAGATGCAACGCTGCCTGAAGATGCAACGCTGCCTGCGCCGTGTCGCCGCGGCGCTCAATTGTTGTTTTTTTGTGTTTGAATATTCTGTAACAAACAAGCTGCTCAGAGATAACGCAACAAGCGAGCGAGGCGTAGGTCGCCCGACAATTTCTCTGCTTCCTTCCTGACGACCCCGGAATTCAATACAACCCCAAGGCTTCTCTCAGCTGGACCCCGGGGATGGTGAGGTCTCCTGGTGGTCCGCGTAAGAAGTCACTCTTCTGCGCCTGCAGCAGCCCTCGAAAGTGGCGACAGTTTCGCAGATCGCAGCCCCCCCATAGGATGGCGAGGTCTCCTGGTGATCCGCGTAGGACGTCACTCCGCTGCTCCCTTCTACAGCCTTCGAACATGACAATCGTTTCGCAGATCGCAGCCCCCCAAGGATGGCGACGTCTCCTGGTTGGCCGCGTAGGACGTCACCGCAACCCCAACAGCCCTCGAAAGTGGCCACAGTTTCGCAGATCGCAGCCACCCAGGGATGGCGAGGTCTCCTGGTGGTCCGCGTAGGACGTCGCTACGCTGCACCCCGCAGCAGAGCTCGAAAGTGGTCACAGACTCGCAGATCGCAGCCCCCAGAGATGGCGAGGTCTCCTGGCGGTCCGCGTAGGACGTCGCTCCGCAGCAGCCTTCGAAAAAGGGTAGATTCGCATATCGCAGCCCCACAGGGATGGCCAGATCTCCTGCTGGTCCGCGACGGACGCCACTCCGCTGCACCTGCAGCAGCCCTCGAAAGTGGCGACAGTTCTGCAGAGCGCAGCCCCCCCCAGGGATGGCGAGGTCCCTTGGTGATTTGCGTAGGACGTTATTCCGCTGCACCCCCAGCAGCCCTCGAAAATGGCGACAGCAGCCCTCGAAAGTGGGGACAATTTCGCAGATCGCAGCCCCCCATAGGATGGCGAGGTCTCCTGGTGGGCCGC